AGCATGAACTCTGGCACTAGACTGCCTGTGTTCAAATCCTGAGTCTGCCACTCATAAACGGTATGACATTAGAAAAGTGGCTGAACTGCTTGGTGCTTGTCTCCTCATTTGCAAATGTTAGTACCTACCTTAGGTTATTGTGTGGATTCAATGTTTTAATCTTATAAAGTTCATAGAACAATGGCTGGCATATATATGTATACACACACACACACACATAAACATACATATAGGAGGATCTCTGGTGGCATAGCACCTAAGGCATTTGACTGCTAACCAGAAGGCTGGCGGTTCAAACCCACCAGCCACTCCTTGTAAGGAAAGCTGGGTATTGTAGTTCCGTAGTGCTGCTCTGACAAGAAATATACCACAAATGGGATGGCCTTAACAAACAGGAGTCTATTCTTACAATTTGGAGGCTTTCAGTCCAAGTTCAAAGTGCCAGATTCTAGGGGCTGAGTGAAAGCCATTCAACCTCAGGGTCCAGCTCTGCCTCCTGCTCCCGGCCCACTGGAGCTAGAGGCATTTCTTCACGCAGACAGCTGCTGGCTGCTGAGGCTGAGTAGCCCTAAGGTTGACAAGTAAAAAGGCACAGTTCCGATGTTACCAAACCACATGGCAGGCCATTAACTTAAGTCCATTATAAGTCCCAAGGTCGGCAGAGCATAGCAGGCTGCTGAGCAACGACACGGCTACATGCAGGGTCCAAGCGTGCCATAAGCTAGAGACCATTCCCAAGGCTTCTCCTTATAGACAGGGAGCGCTCCACATTCCCAAAGGCAACTACTCAGCTGCTTGTGGTAGATCCCACCATGGAGTTGATTGCCGGTCTCATCATGAGGAATAACTACCACCAGCTGCCCAGCCACTCAACCAGGCCCAGCCAAGTTGACACACAAACTGAACAACCACACTGGGCAATCTGCTTCCATAAAGATACAGCCTCAGAAATCCAAGGAGGGGTCGCTTTGAGCCAGTATTGACTCGAGGGCAGTGAGTTTGGTTTTCGGTATACATATATGTGTGTGTGTTACCTGCTGTTAGTAGTATCACTGCTCTCCTACTGTTTTTTTTTTTTTTTAAAGGCAGATGTTACAGCTAACGTGTAAGCGTTGCTCTTCATCGCCGTCCGTGATCTTTGTCCATTTCTTAGGTAATCAGTGTGAATTGTAATTTCCCAGCCTTTTTGTGTGTGTGTGCATTTGCATATGCAAATTAATGTGCAGGAATACATAGTTCTCTGAGTTTTTAAAAATACCTAAGTTACTGTAGCATAGTGGCTAAAGACACTTGCCTGCTAACCAGACGGCTGGCGGTTCAAACCCACCAGCCACTCCTCGGAAGGAAGGTTGGGCAATCCTACTTTCGTAGTGATACTGCCTCGGAAACCCAAGGAGGGGTCGCTATGAGTCGGGGCCGACTCGACGGCACATAACAACAACAACAACAACAAGTTACTGTAAAGAGTAATCAAAAAATTTTATTAGTAGTTCTGTTGTGAGAGCAGCTAGATATGCACCAGTTTTTCCTCTGACATTAAATGCTGGGATGGGAGTCAGGTCAGCTCTGACAAGTTAAAGGACATAGTCCTCTAGACTGCCAAGTAGGCCCAAGAGTTTAAACACCAGCCACATGCTTGGGACCCCCTAGCTTCTCCACTTCTGACCTGCTGCTGCCAATTCAGGGGGTCCCTCTACCCTCTCAGGAGTCAGCCGTAAGCTTGGGCGAAGGGGTCCTCATTCACTACACAGTTGACCTACTGGCTCCCAGTACTTCCTTGCCAGAATGACTCACAGGACTAAGGGAAAATGCTGTATCTACAATTTTATTGTAGGAAAAGGATACAAGTGAGGAGACACATAATTGAAGTCTGGGAGAGTTCCCTGTGCAGAGCCTCCATGTCCCAAAGGGCTATCTTCTACATGCATTGAGATCTTTCACCAACTAGGAAGCCCATGGAGGTGCCATGTCCAGAGCCTTTACTGGGGCCTCTTTCCATTGCCACGACTGATTGAATCAGCCCACCTCCACTGAGGTCAGCTGATTTCAGGAGGTGGTCTTTCTGGCCTGGCCAGCCCCCATCTGAGCATCTAATTAGCATGAATTCACTTGTGATCTGGAGTCCTTATCAAAGACACTTGAAACATTAGGAAAATTTCAAACATTAGGAAAATTTCAAGGTTTTAGAGATAATCGCTCAATGAGAGAGATTGATACAGTGACTGCAGCAATGGTTTCAGACATACCTATTATTGTAAGAATGGCACAGGACTTAGCAGTGTTTCTTTCTGTTCTACATGGGTCGCTGTGGAGCTCTGGGGACATAGTGCCTCAGGCATTTGACTGCTAACCAGAAGGCTGGAGGTTCAAACATGCCAGCAGCCACTCCTTGGAAGGAAGATTGGGCAATCTAATCCTTAGAGATACCGCTTCAGAAACCCAAGGAGGGGTTGCTATGAGTCAGATCCAACTTGAAGGCAGTGAGTTTGGTTTTTTGGTGGTTGTCATTCCAGATCACCCAAATACTAAAAATCTGAATCTGTTGTTTCACTTCTTCAGCCATGACTAAGCCGATTCAAACTGGTTCAAAGCCCTGGCTTAATGCCAGTCTTTTTCATTTTTGCCTGTGTGAGTGGTAAAAATGATTTCTTACTCTATCTTCTCTAGGTAATACGTTGACATGTACAGTATTTGAAAGTATAAAAGAATGTGCAAGCAAAATCCCTTCTACATCTTTTTCCTACCAACCCAGTTTCTTTTCCTCCAGGAAACCAGTGTTATTAATGTTCTGTGAATTTTTCTGGAATTAGTTTATGAGTATACAGAAATTTTTTATTTATATTCTTTTTCTTCCTTTTTAACATGAAAGGTTGTATGTAACAGTGTTCTGTGCCTTTTTACATTAACAATATATCTTAGAAGATGGGAGTTCTGGTGGCATAGTGCCTAAGGCATTTGACTGCCAACCAGAAGGCTGGTGGTTCGAACCTACCAGCCATTCCTCGAAAGGAAGACTGAGAGATACCATTTCAAAACCCAAGAAGGGGTCACTGTGAGTCGGGACTGACTTGACAGCAGTGAGCTGAGAGCTTAGAAGATACTTTCCTTTCAGTACAGTCTCCTTTTTCTTTTTCTCTCTTTCTCAGCTGTGTGTTATTTCTTTGTGTGGGTGTAATATAATTTATTTAACCAGTTCCCTACTGAAGGACGTCTAAGTTGTTTCCCATTTTCTACCAATACGCCTACTCCTTCCTTATCGACTGTCTCATTATCTGACATTTTGCATTTATGATAATAGTGAAAAATCTGTGCACATGAACAGCACATCTGGCAGTAATGAACGCTGGGGTCCCTGACAGGTCCCTGATCAGCAAACCTTGTGGGCTCGTAGAAGCAGTGCTTGTATTGCATAGTATTTCCCCACGCAGGAGGGGAGAGGAGGCGTGGTTTCCCCAAGCCCTCAGGGTACAGGGCAGAGCGGTGTGTATGTGTGTGTGTACATGTGGGGCTGGAGTGGGGACAGCAAGACAGGACAATGCCAAGGCACGTCCTGGGTTCCCACGGGAGGCTGAGGCCAGGATAGTGGCAGTTGGTATCCTGCAGGTGGGTTGCCCTTGGAGCTGGGAGGAAGTGAGACCCTGGGGTCTGGCCCCAGCTTCCAGCCCTGAGGGACACAGGCCTGGGCTGGGCTGTTGTCAGAAGGAGCCTTGAGAAGAGCACTCGGGTACCTGGGGACACAGGTCTCCATATCAGTAGTCTGGCCCCTCTGCAGGTCCTTATGTTTCCTCAGTGCTGCCTCTTAGGTGGCCACAGGTGAGGGCTGGGCAGGCTAACTCCGTAGGGATGGGGTCTTCAGGTGTGTGGCCAGCAGCAGCTGGAGTTTAAGGTCAAGAGCAGAGGCCAAGCCTAGCATCACAGCCTTGGCTGAATCTCTGGATTGTCGAGGCTCATGGGGAACATGGCTACCCAATGAGAGCCAGGGAGTGCTTGGCGAGGGGCCAGCAAGGAGACCTTGCAGATAGCGTGCGCCCCTCCCCTACAACACCCAGGCCATCCATCGACAGGGAGCCCCCTGCCCCTCACAAAGCCACCAAGGGTGTTTTGGGGTCGTTGAGTGAATGAGCCAGGCCACCCATCCTGAAAATACAGTAAGGCCAGGGACCCTCGGGATAGGGAAGAGGGCAGTTCTTGGGTCACCTTGGCTCTGGAAGACTGGGCTGTCCTCCCCTGTGACATGAGGGTATCAGTGTCAGATTACTTCAGCAGAGGCCATGCAAGACATTCGCAGTACAGGTGAGGAGGTCCGTTTTAACATGACCCCAATTTTCACATGATAACCTGGTGTTTGGAATTGAACTATGTCAATAAGTGAGGAGTGGGTGTGGTAGTAATGCCCCAGTGAATAACTTGTATATAACTAATCCCACATTAGTTTCTCTGAAGATAAATTCTTAGAAGTGGAATTTCTGGGTCAAAGCAAATGTCCATTACAATTTTGGTAGGTGTTGACAAGATGCTTTCTCTCGTAGGAGAGAGAGTGCCTGCTTCCCGGTCCCTTTGTCAATACCATGTTACCTGCCTGAGTGTGTGAGTGTGTGCGTGAAGATGCTTCACCTCGGGGTACATACAGGTAGTATAAAATTAGACCCCAAACACATTTGAGGTAGTTCTTATGGTTACAGATACCTAAGGGAATTTCTTTCCCCCACATAAAACCCCTAGTCTTTTTATTTTTTAAAAGAACGTAGGGCTTTTGTGGTGAACACTGCTGAGACCATTTGTTGCAGTAGGGGTGGAGGTCTGGTAACCTTGTTATCCAAAAGGTTTGTGTCCAAGGCAGAACTGGACAGCACAAAGAAAGGCTAGAAGAAGGGGAGAAGGTTTGAAGACAAGATTCAGAAGAATGTTCAGAGTTTATGACCTTTGGTCTGCATATGAACCAAGAACAGAGAGACAGGAAGCATCAGGAGAAGAAGTAACAGTTCAGCATCAAAATCACGATGAGAGGCGAAGATGAGAGCAACTCCCTTGATGAGGTTTCTCAACAGCAGGACCTGATAGAAAAGCAGCACAGAGAAGACTTAAAAGGACGAAGGAATACATCATCTCAACAAAGTTGGAACTTCTGGAGGAAATGGAGATGCTGCCTGGAAACCTGTAGAAACCAAGAACAGGTTCTCCCAGGCAAGGCTGTTGGCAGCAACTGTGAAGTGTAAGAGCTTAGAGGTGCAGCAGTGTGAAAAGTCTGACACTGGACCGACTCGGATAGAAGAACCAAGAGGCCCTGTCATGATGTCTGTTGGAAGTGCTTCACTGCTCCCTCCATTCCCTGCAGTCTGTATGAGCATCCCCCTGAGCTTGGGGCCGTCCTCTGGGAATGGCCACTCTGAGTCCACCTCAGATGGGGAAGGCACCATTAACACCACTGGGGAGGTCGTCCTCTCCACCTTCTAAACCAACACCTTCCTTAAGGCCTCCTAGTTCTCTGTCTCTGCCACAGGGGCCTCTCCCGCAGAGTAGATCATTCAGTTGATTCTGTCTGCAGGCATTGCTGCCTGTACATGCCGTGACATCTCTAACCTAATCTGAAAATGTTCCAGAATCCACTCTGTGACCCAGATTTGTGTTTGGTTTCTCTTTCCACTCCACTACCTCTTCCCGCAAGGATGGGATCAGGGGAGAGGCAGGGCCCAGCAGGAACGCCACTAAACTGGCCCAGAGGGTTTAGGCTTTACTGTTTTCTTGTTCTGTTTTCCTTCCTCAGTAGCATGGAAAAGCAAGGCCAATTCATGAAGAGGTGTTAGGTAAATGTTTGTAGATGAACACATTGCTTGGTTACACTTCCTTGTGGAGCAGAGGGGTGGAGGGGGGACTAACCCAGGTGATGAAATGAAGCACTCCCCTGGAACTACCAGGGCTTGATGCTGTGTGACTAAGGAAAGGTTAAGAAACAGCTGCAGGAGGAGTCGCTTAACACACATGGTTCATTATGAAGTTGTTCCTGACTCTTGACTGCTGCTTTTCCTCCCTCCAGCCAATCTCGCTGATAGAGCTTGATAGAGAAGCTCTGCAGATGAGAAAACTCCTACTCAGACCTTTGCTCTGCCTGGCAAATAATTATTATTTTAAATGATTTAGTTTAAAGCTCTAAACTTTAGAGAATCAGAAACAAAAGCCTCCTAGTCTTCCACTTTTGCCAGGAGGCAGATTTTTTTTTTTTTTTTTTTCTCATCTGCCATGTCACTGCATGTGAACCTTTTGAGGGTCTCGACTTTATGGAAGGGATGGTGGTACCTCATTTCTTTTCCCTATTGAGGCTATTAAAATCCAAGCCCCAGAGGAATGTCAATAAGAGCCAACCATGTGTTGCTCCTCAGGACCCAGCAGAATGGCTGGATTGGAAAAGACGATACCAAAGAGTGATGAGGATGCAGGGCATCTGACTCTCATCTGCTCGGTAAAAATGTGTTTTGTTTTTTGTTGTTGAAAATACACACAGTGAAGTATGTACCAATTCAGTTTCTACATTTACAGTTCCGTGAGGTGGACTCCATTCTTCAGTGTACCACCATCTTACTCACCTTTTCCTGATTGTACCTCTCCATTAACATCAACTCATTGCCCCAAGCTTCCTATCTAACCTTCCCAGTGGCTGTTATCAAATTGATCCCATATAGTAAGTGAGTACAGTGTGCAAGACAGCCATTGATAACTAATTAAGCATGTCTCCTTGAGGACTAAGGTGCCCCTGACACAAACCCAGTGGTTGGAAGAAGTAGTTTCTGGACAGAACCACAATAATAGGACATGCAGTGTCACACAAAAACATGCTGTGCTGTGTGATGGGCAGGGAGTGCCGCAGACATGATAAGCTTTCTCCAACTTTCCCCGTTTTTCTTAGAAAATGCATGAAGAATGAGCGAGGGTGCTGGAAGTATGGATGTGTAGACTCTAAAGCATTGTGAGTCCTGTGTTCTTTGAGACATTGACTATCTTCCAGCCTTTAGTAGAAATGAACATTTAGGTAGGAGACATCAAAAGACATAAATGATGGTAAAGTGAGTTTAATCAACATTTAATTGAGAATGTGCAATGTGCAAAGATACAGAATGAGTACCTTCACCATCCAGTGGAAGAGTTAGATTTCACTGTAACATAAGAGCTTGTGTAGCAGTAAGTGTAGTGTCTGCACTTGTCTAGATTCCTGAGGGATAAGAACCAGGATCAGCCCAAAGCTGATGCCCATGAAGCAGAGGGCAGACATACCTCCACTCTCCAACCTTTTTTTACCAATTCTGACCAATCTGTTTTCACAAAGAAGACAAAAATCCTCACAAATGGACCAATAAGCAACATTATGATAAATGGAGAAAAGACTGAAGTTGTCAAGAATTTCGTTTGACTTCGATTCACTGTCAACACCCATGAAAGCAGCAGTCAAGAAACCATATGATGTATTGCACTGGGGAAATCTGCAAAAGATCTCTTTAAAGTGTTAAAGAGCAAAGATGTCACTTTGAAGACTAAGGTGCATCTGATCCAAACCATGGTATTTTCAGTAGCCTCATAAGCATGGGAAGGCTGGGCAATGAATAAGGAAGACCAGAAAAGAATTGATGCATTTGAATGGTGGTGTTGGCAAATAATACGGAATATATCATGGATTGCTAGAAGAATGAACCAATCTGTCTTGGAGGAAGTATGTCTGCAATGCTCCTTAGAAGCGAGAACGGCCAGACTTTGCCTCTCATACTTTGGTCATGTTGTCAGAAGGAACCAATCCCTAGGGCAGGCTGTCATGCTTAATAAAGTAGAGGGTCACTGAAAAATGGGAATGCTCAACGAGATGGATTAACACGGTGGCTGCACGTAGGCTCAATCATGGCAGTAATTGCGAGAATGGCCAAAGACCAGGCAGTGTTTTGTTCTGTTGTACATAGGGTCTCTGAGAGTTGGAACCGACTCAGTTATACCTAACAGTGATGACAACACCATCCCTCCCTCCCTCCCACAGCACTCTCTGCTTCTCCTCTGGGTTCAACATCCATTGCAGTGGCCTCACAGAACTAAGTTAAGTGGTTTATTAAGGAACAGGGTACAACTTGGGATCAGGATCAATAACAACTGGAGGTCAGGATCAGGAAGCATGTAGGCAAAATCTGGGAGGCGTGCTTGAAGTAAAGAGTATAAAGCTCCCATCTTCAGTGCATGACAGTTCTCTGAGCTTCTTGGCCATGCAAACAGGCGGGCCCTTCTTGCTGCTAAGCATGCCTCCTCTCAGCTGTGCAGGACAGGCTCCTCAGGACAGGCCTCCTTTGAACTGTGCACATCCCCTCTTGTCCGTGCAGGCCCGTCTGCCTTCACTCTACCTGATGTTGGCCTCTCTGCTGCTCACTGACCCAGTTCATTACGAGCAGGGCAAGTTTGTTCCACTCTCTTAGCTGCCTGCCTAGCAGTAGGTCTACCATCACCACCGACACTGCCACGGGGTCCCTTCTGGGCTTGTCACTGCCGGCTCTGCCGCAGGGCCCTTTCCAGTCCTCCTGCTGTCTTCAGTGTTAGAACCCTTGACCACTGTTACAGCTCTTTTAGGAGTTTCCTCTCTGAGACAGCCATACGATCTACTATGCCGAGAATGACAATTTGAAGAGGAATGGCGTGATATTCATCATCACAAAGGATGTTCCAAGGTCTGTCCTGAAGTACAGTGCTGTCAGTGATAGGATAATACCCACATCCTGCAAGGAAGACCAGTTAATATTATTATTATCCAAATTCACGCACCAACCACCAAAGCCGAAGATGAGGAAATTGAAGATTTTGATCAACTTATGCAGTCTGAAATTGACCGAATATACAATCAAGATGTGTTAATTATCACTGATGAGTGGAATGCAAAAGTTGGAAACAAAGAAGAATCACTGGTAGTTGGAAAATTTGGCCTTGGTGACAAATACTGGAAATCACAAGACAGTATTCTGCAACACTGACAACTTATTCATTGCAAATACCCTTTTTCAACAACACAAATGGCAGCTATGCACGTGGACTTCGCCAGATGGTGTACACAGGAATCAGATTGACTGCGTCTGTGGCAAGAGGCGATGGAAAAGCTCAATGTCTTCAGCCAAAACAAGGCCAGGAACTGATTATGGAACAGACCATCAATTGCTTATACGCGAGTTCAACTTGAAGTTGAAGACAATTAAGTCCACGAGAGCCAAAATAGGATCTTGAATATATCCCTCCTGAATTTAGAGACCATCTAAAGAATAGATTTTATGCTTTGAACACCAATGACCGAACACTAGAGGAATTGTGGGATGACATCAAGAACATCATCCATGAAGAAAGCAAGAGGTCATTAAAAATAAGAGAAAGAAAGAAAAGACCAAAATGGATGTCAGAAGAGACTCTAAAACTTGCCCTTAAGCAAAGAGTGGCTAAAGCAAATGGAAGGAAATACAAGATAAAAGAGTTGAACAGAAGATTTCAAAGAGCAGCTCAAGCAGACAAAGCCAGTTACTATAATGAAATGTGCAAAGACCTGGAGTTAGAAAACCAAAAGGGAAGAACATGCTCGGCATTTCTCAAGCTGCAAGAATTGAGGAAAAAGTTTAAGCCTCGAGTTGCAATATTGAAAGATTCTAAGGGCAAAATATTGAATGATGTAGAAAGCATCAAAAGAAGATGGAAGGAATACACAGAGTCACTGTACCAAAAATGACTGGTCGATGTTCATCTATTTCAGGAGGTGGCATATGATCAAGAACCAATGGTATTGAAGGAAGAAGTCAAAGCTGCATTGAAGGAATTGGTGAAAAACAAGGCTCCAGGAATTGATGGATTACCCATTGAGATGTTTCAGCAAACGGATGCCCCACCGGAAGCACTCACTCACCTATGCTGAGAGATTTGGAAGACAGCTACCTGGCCAACTGACTGATAGAGATCCATATTTGTACCCATTCCAAAGAAGGGTGATTCAACAGAATTTGGAAGTTATTGAACAATGTCATTAATATCGCATGCAAGTAAAATCTTACTGAAGATAATTCAAAAATGGTTGCTTCATTGTATTGACAGAGAACTTCCAGAAATGCAAGCTGGATTCAGAAGAGGATGTGTGGAACGAGGGATATCATTGCTGATGTCAGATGGATCTTGATTCAAAGCAAAGAATATCAGAAAGATGCTTACTTGTGTTTTACTATGAAAAGGCATTTGATTGTATGGATCGTAACAAATTATGGATAACACTGAGGAGAATGGGAATTCCAGAACACTTAACTGTACTCATGAGGAACCTATACATAGACCAGGAGGCTGTCATTCGAATAAAACAAGGGGACACTGCATGGTTTAAAATCAAGAAGGGAATGTGCCAGGGTTGTATCCTTTCACCATAAATATTCAATCTATACCTAAGTGCAAAAACGGCAAGGAGGCCACATGTTCCGACCTCCTCTAACCCTACAAGGGGAAGGCAGGATTACCAGCAGTAACCCAAGGCCTATTACTGCAAGGCCAGACATGCTGCCTCCCTCCAGCCCTT